CTGCCATAAGACGAGGGACCAGGTTCCGAAAGTGAGCGGAGAAGAAAAATTTTGCATCGACCGGGAAGAGTACCCCTACCCTAGGAGAGTGTATTTTAAGTTGAATTGTTTGTAAAAGTTTTGGAAAAAGTGATAGAAAGATAACTTTTGAAAACGATGCATATTTTTTTTTAAATTATACATTTTTCTTCTTTTGTGAGAAACTTTTACGTTTCTACCCCAAACAAATTTTTATACGGGGCCCCGCCAAGGCCAATACGCTTCTGCGTTTGCCCTTTATTGAATTCAGGAAACTAGTGTCATCAACACGCGACAAACATCAGAAGGCCTAAGTCTAATTAGAGCCCTTAAGAGGAGTGTGTCCACTCAATACTATCACGATGTAGATATTCATTTTTTTTTTCAGATTACTCTAAAACCCGCAGTTGGCCTTTACAGCTTCAACGGACGATAGGGGACGTGTGTAGATGGCACTCCAAACTAAATGAAGGACTGAATAGAGCGGCTGAAGGTCAACTTCCACCTGACGGATATGACTTTAGTCTGAGGGCACCGCTAGGGGTTCGAAGCTCTAGTCAGGCCGTCATAATTTCGATCCTTGTTTGAATTGGACGGGGGATCGATCGGAGGAGATATTATACAGTATTCCTTCTATCTCTATTCAGAGACCTTGTGTCTCTCCTCACCAAACGCGATAGTAATACTTTCAATAGAAAATTTAGCATAAATATTTACCTTTCGCTCTATTCGGCTTACACTGTTATTACAATAAATATAAAGTTTTTTTTTTAATTGTTATTCTAAAAATTCAGTATAATTCCAATGTTTTGTATATTGTTTCATATTCTTATATTGTCTTGGATTGAATACGAATGAACTAAATGTACTTTTTTTTTGGTGAAAATCAATATTTTGGATTATTCACACGAATGAGCTGAAGGTACATTTTGAGAAGTTATTTTGAGTTACGTATATTTCTAAAACAAACTTTAAAGAAACTCTGAATAATGCAAAACGTCGATATTGCCTTATCATGTAGACAAAATGTCATAGTGTTTAATAATTTATTGTAGACTAGTTGTACCAACGGCTGCGTCCGCGTGGAATTTAACTTTATTTTTCTAAAATGTGTGTTGAAATTTGAAATCCCCTGACTGTACAACTAATGGAATGCACGATTGCTAAGAATATTATGTTATCTGTGGTAATATGTCATAAGTTTTTAATTTATTTATAGATTAGCTGTACCCGCGACTTCGGCCGTGAGGAATTTTGCAACATATTATATTATTCCAAAATAAAACTAGCCTAAGTTATTCCTTATTACATCAGCTACCTGCCAAATATAGCCTGCCTGGCAAAATCGGTCCAGACAAAATAAAAATTGTAAAAAAATGTTATTTTGGTGTATGTACCGTATTTATATTCATATGCATGTAGTAAAAAACAGTAATTTCAATATTACAAACAGTCACTCCAATTTTATTTATATGTAGAGATGTGTACATCTGTACATATAGATAAACTTCATAGTACCACGTTTTGTGCGGAGAGTGATCGGGGACGTGCAGCCTTAAGTCGTGGATTGAATGTTATCAAACAATAAATATAAATAGTTATCTAGTAATAGTACAGACTACATAACAGTGTAGGTACGTACGTAACAGATACCTACTGATAACATTACATAAGTAATTGTTGTTGGGCTGAGACCTTCGTTGATAACAACAGTTGCAGACACCTGCCACTTACGACTCGTGGAAAAATATTCAAGTAACATATAAATAAATTAACATCGTGAATTATTACACATGAATTAGAAATTAGGAGACCTCGGTGGTCTAGCGGTTAGCGCATCGTCTTACTTCCGAGGGTTGGGGGTTCGATTCCTCACACAGTACAACCTTTTTTTTTTTGAGGACTACTCTAATGCAGTTGGCCGCAGCTGGCCTTTTCAGCTTCTCCGGATGTTAGGGGGCGAGTGCAGATGGCACTCCAAACCAAAGGAAGGACTTATGGAGCGGCTGAAGGCCAACTCCTGCCTGAAGGATACGACTTTAGTCTGAGGGCACCGCTAGGGGTTCGAACCTTGGCTCAGGCCGTCGATTTCGATCCCCGTTTGAATTGGACGGGGGATCGATCGGAGGGGGAACTGTACGACCATTTGTATTCACTATAAATTTTTTATCGTTTTGGATGTGTTGTTTGTGTATATTATGTATGTATTTGCAATAAAAAATGTATCATGTGTTTGTTTGTATGTCAGTTATCTAGTACCAGTAACACAAGCTTTAGCTATCTTAACTTGGGTCAAGATGACGCTGTGTGTACTGTCCTGAGATTTTTATTATTATTATTACTTATTCTGCATCCTAATTACCTCATCTTCTACAGGTACTCCGCAAGCGTACAAATTATTGTATACTAGCTACCCCGCCCGGCTTCGCCCGGGTGTACATCTATTATACATATAAACCTTCCTCTTGAATCACTCTATCTATTAAAAAAACCGTTTCAAAATCCGTTGTGTAGTTGTAAAGATTTAAGCATACATAGAGACGGACAGACAGCGACAGCGACTTTGTTATATACCATGACTAGCTACTCTCCCCGGTTTCGCCCGGGTGTACATATAAACATTCCTCTTGAATCACTCTATCTATTAAAAAAAAGCCTCAAAATCCATTGCGTAGTTTTAAACATTGCTGAGAAAGCAATCCACACATTTATTTATATGGCAACTTTATTAGTCTATGTTTGATATATGTAGAATGTAGAGTGATGCTCTCTGGTTGCTGTCTGGTTTTTTTAATAAGTAAAATTCGTCTCTGATAAGTTTCATAATTTGGAAATATAAATAAATATATAAATATTAATAGTGTGTATAAATATAGAATAAAATTGCCTGCTAAATTACTTCAAAATAATAAACATACTTACGGACGGACAGACAGCGACAGCGACTTTGTTTTATACTATGTAATGATCCTCAATACATGAAAATTGTAATATAATAATAATAATAATCTCAAGACAATTCACACAGCGCCATCTAGTCCCAAGCTAAGCAGAGCTTGTGTTATGGGTACTAGACAACTGTTATAGATATATGGATGCAGTTTTTTTAAATAAATACATATTATACTTAGAGTATATATCTGTGGCGCGGTGGTTATCCTCATCACTGTAGCGTTATATATGTTGTGATGAGGTGTCGCTACATAATATATTATTTATTGTAGTATGTATACAGTAGTGAGTATACAGGTGAAATAATTGTACCATTTATTGTACATTATTAAGTTTATTGGTAGTATCCTACAAGGCTTATTTATAACGCGTACAGTCGTCGCGTGGTCGGGACGTAGACTGATTTTACACTTAACTTAAATCTACGCTTCTATTCTATTCTATTCTATTCTATGTTAGTGGCGACGTAAACTAATGAAAGGTTTTCAAGTGTCAACAGAAATATTACAAGTGTAGGCACATATTTGACAGCCTCAGTGGTCTAGTGGTTTAGCACACTGCTTTACTACCCGATGGTCGTGGGTTCGATTCCTCGCACGGTACAAATATTTTGTATTCATGAGTATGATTGTTTGTATCGATCTGGGTGTTTTCTATGTATAATATGTATTTATTTACAAAAAAAAATGTATCCATGTATTTATATCAGTTGTCTAGTATCCATAACACAAGCTCTACTTAGCTTGGGACTAGATGGCGCTGTGTGAATTGTCTTAAAATATTATTATATCGTAATAACCCTAATAATAATAATAATAATGATGATCACTGTCAGCCGTCATTAAATTCTAATGATGAATATCCTGACATAATACGTTATCTACATAATCTGTATAGCATTATACTGTAATTTACCTGTTCACAACACATACTCAAAACGTAATGGTCCAAATGCTGTTTGTACGATGTTTTGTATTCTTTTCCTGGACAGAGGTGTCTATTACATTCATGACCTGCGTAGGTAATTGCTTATTTAGGCACTTTAGCTATGCCCGCGGTGTCTATATTACTGTAAAGTTTCATAACAATCTGTTCAGTAGTTTTGAGTGAAAGAGCAACAAACATCCATCTATACTATCAAACTTTCGCTTTTATAATATAACTAGCAACTCGCCCCGGCTTTGGCCGGGTATATGTATTATACAGATAAACATTCCTCTTGAATCACTCTATCTATTAAAAACCGCTTCAAAATCCGTTGCGTAGTTTTAAAGATTTAAGCATACATATGGGTGGACAGCGACTTTGTTTTATACAATGTAATGATTAAGAATACACAGGTTAAACAATAATACCGATTAATTTGTAAGACTAACACACAAGTTTCCTGCTCATTCTTCTTGTGATGAATCTGCGTTCCGAATGAGTGGTAGAATCAAAATATGACTATTCAAAAGTGCTTGTAATGAGTTTATTTGAATAAAGATTATTTCTTTCTTTCTTACTTTTTTTTTGTTTTGAAAATAAATTAAAATTAATAAAAATAACAAATGCCAATCACGCTCTCCTCCCGCCTAATTTAAAGTGATAACCAAAATAATACGTATGTACATACATAAAAATCTTCTGTTCTGTGCAAAGGATTCTGATCAGCTGTAGGTAAGGTTATTTAATTCAGTTTTGTTTATTATTTTTATATCCATTGTAAATAATAAATAATAATTTTATGTAGATATTAGTAGAATTTACTGTCGATCTGTTTACACTCATGTTAATTTACATCGCGTTGTACCTATAACGAACATGCGTTGTACATACTCGTTTTTACACGAGCACTACTATGTTATAGATATCTTAATATTAAAAATAATAAATTTTTAAAAGAAAATATATATGTATAGACGATGAAGTTACTACTAAAATCATTTAAGTACTATATTAATGTTTACATATGTAAAACTACTTTAATTAATTAAATATCACAATATTATTATTTTCTTTACTATTAAGTTGAACAAATATTTACTTACATTGTGTTTGGACACAAACGCGTCAAAACAACGTCAAGGTTGACTCTATATAAATGATCGGGATCCGAAACCGAGCACCGCACCCCACAAACAAAACGGAACGTACGTACAAGTGACTCCGCTCGCGACACCACACTACCGTCTCTCTGTTAGATATTTGACTAACATTCGACCTCGCTCGTCAACGCCAATCAACTGTTCAAATACACCTCCACTACATATAGTTTGTTCGCAATTGATGCAGTCTCATTTTGGCAGGGTTATACTGAAGGCAGGTCACACGTTTGTTTCAACCAGCTGTTAAACTGCGACACAGACGGACGCCGCAGTTAATTTAATAGTCGCAAGAGAAATGCCCTCGTACTCTACTGTCTTATTACAAAAAGATAAACCTGGTTAAGCACTATTAATAAACCATTGACCAAAGTATTCCTTATTACAAAACGAAGTAAACTGTGTGTCTAAACCGTGATTCGTCTATGGTCTAAAGTTAGACCTGCGGTGCCCTAGTTTGCAACAGTAGTCTAAATGCAAAAACTCAAATTCCATTTTAAAAATTGTATTGTAAGTTGTTGTTTTTTGAAAAATTTCTTAACTAAATTAAAAATATATTAGCTAAAAATATTTAAAGCTAATTTTACAAAAATATAAATATATAAAAGATGTTATTTGTTATTTTTTTCACTGTATTGACTTTGAAATAGTCAAATAGAAAAATAGTGTTGGTAATTTTGTTAATTTGCGTTAAAATGCTTATATCTGGAAGTTTTTGCAACTTGCCCCTAGGCAAAATGTCAACCAAAGCAAACTTTAAACAACCACTGACACAGTGGTTGTTTAAAGTTTGCTTTGGTTGTTACGCGAGCCCCCGGGTGATTGCCTATTACCTCGTCGCTAGAAATATCCCCAATCAGGTCGACCTCCACGCCTAGTTTCAAAGGTGAACCCCCTTTGAAACTATAGTGGTTAATTTTGAATGTTTTTGCCACGATATCCTGTGCTGACTTCACGCTCGTTTTAAAATCATTCATTGATGCGCCACCAGCGTATTTTGTCACCGGAATCAGTTTGATATCTTTTTCGGTCAGATTCGAACTCCCGATTTTTGCAAGCCTACAAATTATTGGAAGTGGTTACTGCATCATTTTCAAGTGTATACCTTGAGGGCGCCGTACCAATTACTGCCATTCCACGTCATTTTGGATTCAAATATGGTTGAAATGTGGACACATTCGCATATAAGCCTTATTAGTGTACACAGTAATAATATAATACATGTATTTTAATTCACCATCGTTCATTTCAGTACTTTTACATGTGGGTCTATGACCACAACTACTGGTCAGTAACAGCAAGATTAAAAATAGATAGAAACTTCTTAGCTTTTTTTTTTTATGAATTCATGGAATGGCGCACCGGTCTGCGCTAACGGTTTACGCTGGCGTGGCACCAGTGGAGGATGATAAGATGAGCATGAGATCAGGTCAGTTAGACATCGTGGTGAATTTGAAAATTTATCATGATGGTTTCCAGGGTGAACCACGTGGAGATCAACCTGATATGGTACATTGATAGCAATGAGGTTATTAGACCACATTACTAACAATCGCCTTGCCGCCAGTTCTTAGCATGCCATGGATTCATGGTGTCCGGGTCCATCCTGTGGCAGAAGGGAAACTCCATGCAGTTCCGGGATTTGTGACCCGGGTGGTCCGGTCTAAGAGGCCCCTTACCGACATACGTCAACACTCACCTTCACCGCTCGTGTTTCTTACCCTGACCAGACAAGTCAGGGAGCATGCTAGTGCAGCTCTAGATAAACATTCTAGTATAGAATTTGCTGCAGTTATAGACAGGCCAAGATCTTATAGAAGATTGTAGAGACTCGCTGGTACACCTCACTCCTATAAAAAATTACTTGCATAGTAAAATATATTTTCTACATTACGCCACTAAGGAGCAGGACATTGTTGATCATATAATAGCAATGATATTACCATTCAGCTATAATGAACATATGCATTTTGATATCAGCTTGTGCGAGATCCTTACTAATATTATATATGCGAAAGTAACTCTGTCTGTCTCGCTTTCACGCCGAAACTACTGCACCGATTTAAATAAAATTTGGTATACAGATAATCTAGACCCTGAGAAAGGACATAGGCTACTGTTTAATGCGAAGAAAGGGTTGTAAGGGGTTGAAAGGAGAGATGCAACGTTCTATGGAAGTATCGTTATTTTTAAAGCTAGAAGCTTGAAACTTATATTTTATATGACATTCAAAGTTTGTACGAATTTTACCCTTAAGGGGGTGAAATAACATAGGGGATGAAATTCCTTGCGAAAGAAGTCGCGGGCACAGCTAATTTATTATAATAGGGACCAAGAATAACCTGACATTGAGGGTGAGGCAGCTGGAGTCCAGTCACAACGCGAGTTTCAAGGCGTTTGTGGTCCGGGTCCCTACCACTATGCTGCCCACCTTCATGAAGGAGGACTACTGGGCGTAGGGTGTGGTGTACCTGCGCTACCGTGGCAGATTGCCGTCTTCCGTGCCGTGACCATAGAGACAATTCAATATATGTTTTAAAATATTATTACATATATATGTTAGTCTATAAGGTATTTATATGGACCTAGTTGTCTAAAATAAATAAATAATAATAATAATATTAAATTTATTTTACATTTTAAACTACGAGTTCATGTCACCAGTTCTCAACTGAAGTAACTATCCGAAATGGCCCTACCATTTCGGATAGTGATATTATTTTTACTATCATAAGTGGCAGTCACATCTTTAATGAAAAATGATCTTGAGTTGATCTTAAGTTGCAGAGATGCTGTATACAAGATGAAGACGGGAACTGTGGAGGGGAGCACAATAAATGAAACATCCAGTAAAATTGTCAATATTATTGAACCGTGTCACAAAAGTAAACATTCCATTACATTATATACACTAATACGTTTATTATACAGTTTAAAATCATATGCGGCGCGGACGCGGTCACAATTAATAGGACAAATAAATTAAAACGTATCTATCACATGTGGAGGCACTTTGTATATACATACACGTTTGCTACGAACAAGTCCAAATAATACTAAATATACTCTATACATATTACATTCAAATGTCGCCTCCCGTCCAAGGACATGCGATCCATCCTTCTAGATCTTTCTGTAAGGATAGAAATTATTACTGTAATGAATTTAGTACAATTATCACCTTCTGGTGGGCATCAGTTGGACCTTATTGTAGAGTTACTTATGTTTAAACTTTCGTGTTTAATATACAACATTACATAGTATAAAATAAAGTCGCTGTCGTCTGTCTGTCCCTATGTATAATTAAATCTTTAAAACTACTCAAGTGATTTTGAAGAGGTTTTTTTAATAGATAGAGTGATTCAAGAGGATGGTTTATATGTATAATACATGTATTCTCTGCACCACCTATGGTTGACTGGTAGAAAATGCCGCATGGTGTTAAGTCCGCCAAATGTACTGTACTATATATTTTATTGTGTGCATTAAAGTTAAATAAATAAATAAATAAAATGTAAACCCGTGCGAAGCCGGGTACCCACCTGGCTTCTAGCTAGTTATTTTTATTATTAACTTGGTCTCAACACGAATAATATAATTTTGACGACCTCGGTGGTGTAGCTTTAGCACACCGATTTACGTCCGATGGTCGCGGATTCGATTACTCGCACGATTATTAGATTAGATATTCATAAGTTTGTTTGTATCGGTCTGGGTGTTTTCTATCTATGATATGCATATATTTACGAAAACAATATGTATTTGTATCAGTTGTCTAGTACCCATAACACAAGCTTTAGCTAGCTTAACTTGGGTCTAGATGGCGCTGTGTGAGATGTCCTGAGATTATTATTATTGTAGAAAACCAGTTTTAATAGTAATTAATTAACCCAGACAGCAATAAAGATTTATTCCGTTCTCTTCTAGAATTTCCAACGAAAAACATCTTTTTCTATTGTATTTGATAGTAAATATAGTATATATATTTAGTAGTAAATATATAGGCCTATATATTTTTTTTATTATGATATGGGCATGTAATGCGTAGGAATGAAGATCATATCCTAAGGACGGTGTTACATATGAATGTGAATGGTTATAAGGGTAGAGGAAGACCGAACAAGAGATGGATGGACTGTGTGAAAGATGATATGGTGAGAAAGGGAGTAAATAACAAGATGACTGAGAACAGAGATGAATGGAAGAGAGAAACATATTTTGCAGACCACAAATAAATGGGATAAGGAGGAAGCCGAGGATGATTTTTTTTTATTTTTATTCATCTAGAATTTCCAAAGTAAACGTTTTATTCTATTTAATTTGACAGTATTACAAGTGGCTACGGACTGTACTACTTTTTGAAATATTTTTTGGTAATTTTTTTTTTATTTTTATTCATCTAGTATTTTCAGCGTAAATATCTTTTTCTATTTAATTTGACAGTATTACAAGTGCCTTCGGACTGAAGTAGTAGTACTTTTTTATATAATTTTTGGGCATATTATTTTTTTAATTTTTATTAATTGCCAGATAATGCAGGTCGGCAATGAGCACTCTTACGTGAACGTTATCTGTGTCCAGTCAACGCGTAGTGAATTTAACAAAATATCATTTAAAAACAACATGTCTATAAGATAACCCCGGAGAGATCAATTGTGTATAAAAATGTATTATATTCCGTGCATATAACGAGCAATAGTCTAAACATTTTGTTATTTTAATACAATTATTTTATACTAGCTTTTACCGGGGGCTTCGCTCGCATTGAATCCACTATATCGGAGATCATTGCAATAGAAATGAATCAATATGATGATTATACTCTATAGCAAAATGTTGATATTATATTTTATGTTTTATAAAAAAACTAGCCCTGGCTTCGCACGGGTGTGAACATGTATTATACATACATACATGTAAACCTCCCTCTTGAATCACTCTATCTATTTAAAAAACCGCTTCAAAATCCATTGCGTAGTTTTAAAGATTTAAGCATACATTGGGACGGACAGACAGCGACAGCGACTTTGTTTTATACTATGTAATGATTTGTATTTGAAGTTAGTTTTTTTAATTTTACATTCTTGTTTATGCATTCATTGTATCATCAATACTTCCCCGAATATATTTTCTCCGTGTACCTGTAGCAATAATTTTTATCGATATGTAAAGTTGCGTTTACGTTGCAATGCTAGTTGACGGCGTCAAATGGGGTCAATATAATCGCATTATTGACAGATGACGTCATTTTGACTACGTTACATACGAAAATCGTTGCAAACGAAGTTACATAATTAGCCCACTGGTCTTTTTCGGTTTACCTATACAGAAATAAAAAAAACTACAACAAATTTCATTCCCCAGGGACAGATCGAACACTACATAGCGTGGACACACTCGCCTAAACTTTTCTTGCTTTGTATAAGTCTGTTCAATTTGATCCCCTACATATCTGTATAAGTTTGTTAATTTATATAAAAACTTTAGTACTCGAGGTACATACTAGATGGCGCTGTGTTAAAAGTAGACGGCGATATGGTTTCGTTCTATTACTGTGTATATATGTACGCCATTTTGTAAAATAAACCCCTTTTTTAGTTCAACAATCCATCATCGCTCGTTGTTTTATTTATTATCACCAGAGGACGCTGTAGTAGAGTCCAGAGGGTTGTACAATATCTTTAATCAACATTACGTATTTATTATGAATGATAACAGTAAGGGATTGTCCATTAATCATGTGGGTTGAAAGGGGGTGACAAAAATCACGAAAATATCACAAGGGCCTCCCCCTTGGGAGTGTAGTAAGATATCACTTGTATTTATTTTTTCTATTCAATCAAAAACAACCTGCAAGCTAGTCTAGACATTTTTATCATTCATAATTCTATTTTATTATGAAGTTAAGGACCACCTTAACTTCATAATAAAATAGAATTACAGTTTATACCTGTATTCAAGGATAACATTAAAAAAAAATTAAGATTCTTTGCTGGCACTAAAAATACACGTGATGTTGGGGGATGGGGGGATTGTCCTTAACCTCACTGCGTCTCACCAAGGGGTAGGGGGTTAAAAAATGCTAAGAAAAGATCACGTGATTAATGGACGACCCCTAAAGCGTGGTTATGTAACAGTAACTTGACGCTTTTTATTTGTGCCTTATATTCATAAAATCAATAAATATATTTACTAAGGCTCGACCGAGATCTCGGTCTCGGCATTCTCGGCTACAAATCCAACTTATCTCGGTTCTCGGCTAATTGTAGCCGAGATTCTCGGTCATGACCGAGATTATAACTTTGTTCGGATCGGCATTCAAACTTTAAGGCGCGATGTCGATTGGTGTAAGTGCGTGAGAGGGTTGAATTGTGATTGGTTGAAGTCCCGGCTGGCGAACTGCGGCCTAGGATCAGATTCTCGTGAGACACATTAGAATAGAATAGAATAGAATAGAAAATAATTTATACAAATAAACTTACATTGAAGAACTTTTGAATAGTCATCACATTTTTTTTAATCTACCGCTCATTCGGAAAGCTGTCTCATCACAAGGAGAACGAGCAAGAAACTTGTGTGCTGCTCTTTTAGATAATTTTATTCTTACTTTACAATTTCAGTTGAAGTGTGTGAATACAAACCACCGATTAGCACTAATTCAATTAAATAATCAAATAGAAATAATATTGAATACACAACAATTGGTTAAACAATTAATAAGAGGAAATCAGTAATAATGATTAGAGCAGATCAGTCCCTACAAGCAGCACCCGTTCACCAGTATGACGGATGACCCAGCCATCACTGCGCTCGACCATATTTTAGGGAACCCAATGACCCGGCCCACCACGCCGCCACAAGTCTGGACATTTTAGTGACCTTAAATTTACTGATTTTATGAATATAAGGCACAATACAATAGTCAAAACTTGTACCCAAGACGGCGACAACTTAAGGACACATTACACTATCATCTTAATACATCTGCATTTAAAAAATTGATCTCATTAAAACCTACCTATAATTTTAAAAATACAACAATGAAACTGCTCAGTTAAAGCAATAAAAGCAGTGTAATTTTGTTTATCTTTATATATAAAAATTACGTGTCATGTTTTCTGTCCGCGATGTACTCCTAAATTACTGAACCGACTGCAAATTTGATTAGCACATTGTGTGCAATTTGATCCAACTTGAAAGATAGGATAGCTTACATCTCAATTTATAGTCGCAATATTATTTTATTCAAGAACCTTAGTCTGATAGTTTTATTTTTTAATTACGGAGCATAATTTCGTATCTTTTATCAGATATCCATTTTAAAACTACATATATGACATACGGAAAATTAATAAACTTACTATGTTTCCATCATTATACGTTGACAATTGTTTCAATTACATTCAGAAGTCATAAAAATATTTAAACTAGTAGTATTGACATAAGTAAAACAAATTTTTTACAATATCAATCGGACATTGCATATGATAGTGTAAGATGCCTCTTAGTACCATTATAGTTGTACAGATGTCATTATTAGTGAAACGGTTCAGTAACCACGGTGTACACTACACTAGGTAGATGTTCTGGCTCCGTCCGCATTATTAGTATCTATCATTATATCACATTTGTCAATTTGTGAGGACACACGAGTGTATATATCACGTAACTAGTTCAGTCTGTGTGTGTGGGCGTAACAAACGGTAGCCGTCGTTGCGGGCTATCTGCAAACATAACATAATATACATAAGATTTTATTTCATACTGGCTGTTCCGGAAACTTTCTAAAATAAAAGTAGACTAAGTTACTCCTTATTACATCAGCTACCAAAAAAGTCCCGTCAAAATCGGTCCAGCCGTTTCAGAGATTAGCCGGAACAAACAGACAGACAGACAAAAATTATAAAAAATGTTATTTTGGTGTATGTACCGTATTTATAAATATGCATGTAGTAAGAAACGGTAATTTCAATATCACAAACAGACACACCAATTTTATTTATATGTATAGATGAGTGTAGGCCACGTTATTACCGCCTCTCCATGTATACCTTTCTAAAATAATAATTTTCTCTAATTCCATTGAATCTGCCGACCCTAGGCTGCGGCCTATATGGCCTATATATATAAATCCAGGACTGGTTTATCGTATAAGGAATAGAGCTGCAACCATCGATAGCTAAGCGGGTTGCTAAACCGCTAGACCATGAGGTCTTATGGATAATAATGGAATGGTGCACCCGCCGCGCTAACGGTTTACGCTGGCACCAGTGGTGGATGATAAGATGAGCATAAGGTCCGGTTAGTTAACCGAGGTAAATACACTAATATGAAGATGAGGTCAGGTGATTTAGCTCATCGTGGTAAATTCACCATGAATTTATCACGCTGGTTTCCAAGGGGAACCCCGTGGAGGTCACCCTAGTGTAGTTAGGTGGTGATAAGGTACGTCACCTGTGCGCGTCGGGCCGCGTGCTAGATGCAGGTGGTCTTGAGGTGCATGGAGAGCAGTCCTTTGGCCACGAACCCGCGTCCGCACAGACCGCACACGTACGGACGCGCGCCGCTGTGGTACCTGACACACACACACACACACACACACAGGAACTGTTAAGAATGGTCACTCTATTCTCCCAAGTTTTAATTTAAAAATTAATCTGTAATATTATAATCTGTAAATCTGTAAACATGTATAATATTAATTTGACAAGAATACGAGCTGAGTTTCTTGTCAGTTCTTCTCATCTCGAAATCATTCCGAACTGACAGTAGATTTGACTTATCATAAGAGTCTGTAATAGTACCTACATGAATAAAGATTAAAAAAAAAATTAAAATAAAACAACATAATGCTTTTATATATATTGTAATAATAGAGTAAGCCGAGCAGAGAGGAAGGTAAATATAAATAAAGATATTTGGAATTATTTTGAATGGGATTTGAAAATCTCATTGCTAACAATGTATAAATCGTTATTATATCATACCCAATAATATTACACATAATTAAATCATTTATTCATACTATAATTAATTATTAATCTGGTAATCGAAATGAGGAATACTCCGTTCCATTAGGACTAACATAAAAGGTAAACAAAGGTTACTAACCAGTCTAGTGATAACCAAAATCAGTATCATTAAAAAATAATAAATATTCGTATTAAATATTTTGATAAATCTATTGAATGTTTCGATTTACTAATTTTATTGTACGTTATTACAAATACGTTAGTATACGTAAATATCTACACAAAGTTTTTGGTATAAATTGAAATAATAACAAATTTGTGTGTATAGATAGACACATAAGTAACATGCATAATTTCATAGTAGTTTTGAAGCTAAATATCACTTTAAGCCACAAATAATAACTGGAGAATTCACACAGCGCCATGTAGGCCCAAGGTAAGTAAAAGTTGTTTTATGGGTATTGAATAATTGATAGAAATACTTTTTTTTTAATACATACAAAATATACATAGACGTCCACGGTCTCGATAGTCTAGCGGTTTAGCAGATTCAATTCGGTATTATCAAGGGTCGATTCCTTGTACCGTACAAACAATTTACATTCATGAGTATGTTTGTTTGCATTGTTCCGCGTGTGTGGGACTGTATATAGGGCGCTGGGGTCGGTGCAGCCAACGATGGTGGTAATTAAAGATGCAATATGTAAAAGGATAGTATATTATAAAAATATATGTCGTAACAAACTATATGAAAGCAAGAGCAATACAAGGAATAGTAAAAAGGGAATCAATAACAAAACCATAGCAACCGATATAAAATATAAATATTTAAAAATAAGTAATAGTCGTACCAGCCAGCGGCCCAAATGTAAGGAGTCCTGTACACCGCGTCTTTTCTATGTAGATTTATTAAGTAGGTATTTAAAAAATATCTATGTAATAATATTAGTTGTCTAGTACTAATAACACGAGCTCTGCTTAGCTTCGGACTAGATGTTGCTGTGTGAATTATGTAGGGGTGTTATGTTATACATGGAAAACACCCCAGATCAATACAAACAATCATACTCATGAGTGGAACACACTCCCAGATTTCGTGTTCCCAGAGAAATACAACTCTGGATTCTTCAAGTCTATCATGAATAGATTTCTTCTGGGTAAGAGCACTGCATCCTAGGTCATTTAATTTCATTTATAGATGCGGTAAGACCGAGCGTAAACACATTACACCACCCACCCAAACATAAAAAAAATGTATGGTGGAAGTGTAATATCGTCACAAACACCTATATAAATATACATTGTAAATAAACTGGCTTTTAAAGAAAAATATATTAAATTGAGTTTCTTGCCAGTTCTTCTCAATTGGATCTATATACTGAACTGGACGGTAGGGAAAAATTATAATATAAAAAAAAATACGTTCATAAGTGGCTAAAATGTCCTACACGTTTCACGATTAAACGATTTTTTAATTTGACGTGCGAGTGAATACATGTACATAACGTACCGTTCGTGTATGACGAGCGTGGAGCGCTGGCTGAAGGCCTTGCCGCAGTGCGAGCACACGTGCGGCTTCTCCCCCGAGTGGACGCGCTCGTGCAGCGTCAGGTTGCACTTCTTCACGAATCCCTTGCCGCACGTCCTGCACACATACATTGGTTTTACTATAGCTTACATAGCAATCATCATCATCAATGCCTTCATTGCCTCGGTGGTCCAGCGGCCTTTTTATCGCACGGTACAAACATTTGTATTTGAGTATGATTGTTTGTATCGGTCGTTTTCTATATATAATATGTATGTCTATGTATTTGTATCAGTTATCTAGTACCCATAACACAAGCTTTAGCTAGCTTAACTTGGGTCTAGATGGCGCTGTGTGAATTGTCCTGAGATTATTATTATTATTATTATCCCATTATTTGGGGTTGGCGCAGTATGTCATTCTCTTCCACTGCTCTCTTACATAGCTTACATAGCAATATAGAAATAATTTAAATAATTTTTATTGAAGTAAAGGTGCATCTTACTATGAAATGTATATTCACGGTCAACAGAAAAAAAACTATACATTAATGGTAATTTTTTTTAATTAATTAATTTACTACTAACTGACCCCGTAAATATTTTGCCTTATAAATTAAAACTGCTATTAAAGTATGTAATGGTAGGTATGTATTTTTTAATGTCACATTATAAAATAATAAAAAAAATTGATGGAAAAATAAAAATAAAATGTTAGGGGTGATCCTTATCATTTAGGGGTATGAAAAATAGATAGTAGTCGATTCTTAGACCTACTGAATATGCATATAAAATTTAATAAAAATCGGTCAAGCTGTTTCGCAGGAGTATGGTAACAAATATTGTGATGCGAGAATTTTATATATAAGATTACTCTTTTTTCGGACTACTCTAATGTTGTTGGTCTTTACAGCTTCAGCGGACGATAGGGGGCGAGTGCAGATGGCATTCTAAACCAAAGGAAGGACTTATGGAACGGCTGAAGGATAACTCCCGCCTGACGGATACGACTTTAGTCTGAGGGCACCGCTAGGGGGTTCGAATCTCGGCTCAGGCTGTCGTAATATCGATCCCCGTTTGAATTAGACGGGGAATCTATCGGCTTTTCGAAATTACAGGATAAAATGGATAACGTCTTAGTTCTCTGGAATGGCGACGGTAGTGGTAGTCCATGAAAGAGAGAGAGAGAGAGATAGAGAGAGAGAGCGCGGGGGAGGGGGGCAGGAGCAGGGTACTGACTTGCAGACGTTGGGCTTGTAGCCGGTGTGTATGCGGATGTGGAACTTGAGATGCTCGCGCGAGGTGAGCGCCTTGCCGCAGACGTTGCAGAGGAAGTTCCGCTCGCCGGAGTGCGCGCGCTGGTGGCGCCGCAGCGAGTTGAGGTGCGCGAACTGACGCGCGCACTCCCGGCACCGCAGCGACAGCGCCCGCCCCGCCGCCTCCGGGTGCGCGCGCAGGCGGTGCGACAGCAGCTGTCTACGGCACACAACACCACACCCTCCCTCTTCCGGTTACCCGCGACCCTATCTATGTCGTCGCTCCTAGCGTAGGACGCTCGGCCTGCCTGCGGAGCGTCCTACGCTACGTTTGCCGATTCTCATGTAATTATGGTGACATTATTTCTCTTAACTCTAATATATAAACAAACAAACGTACAGTCACATACGGAGTGTTATCACGGATGGCGTAATCAGAGATATTGTGGGTTGTCGATGTTGTAGTGAAAGCAACGTTTGACGTGCTCATTTTGCTGTACATTATGAATCCAACTTGCCACCTATGGCCATCTCTCGAATCATTTAGTTTTTTTCGCTGGAATCACGAATATAAATTAACAGTCATTTTGGTTTGGTTTTGGCCTAATTATTTACATATACTTACTTCATATATACAAAACCTTCCGGACACAGGTCACAGATGAATCTCTTAGTGAGAGGCTGTATAATGTCCGCACCATCTTCGCCCATCTTGTGAGTGAGACCTATAACATAACATGTTTGTTTCTAGAAAAAATTAAACCTCAATTTCTTATTCCTAATAAAAAAAACGGTGATGACTTATGTAAGTAATATAAAATGATGCTTTTTATATATTGCTATACTAGTATCAATTAATTGTACAATTTCATAAATATTTTATAGTATAAGGAACATCTGAGATTGGTACACGCCTGATGATATGTACTATCGTCCATGAGGACCAGTAACATCAGGTGAATTGGAAAGTTTTTTGATAGTTTTGATATCTTTTTGGTACTAAATATAGAAAGAAATAATCTTTATTCAAATAAACTCAATACAAGCACTTTTGAATAGTCATATTTTGATTCTACCACTCATTCGGAACGCAGATTCATCGCAAGAAAATGAGTGAGAAACTTGTGTGTTGCTCTTTTGAATAGATAGTTTTTTACGCCGGTCGCGCTCCGGCAGCTGTACACGTGTGGTAGAGGTGCGAGTATATACTGACCGTGCTTGAGTATCTGGTGGGGGTCGCGGAAGGTCTTCTCGCAGACGGCGCAGCGGTACGGGCGCCGGTCGCGCTCCCAGTGCCGCCGCCAGTGCGCCGCCCACTCGCCGCGCTCCAGCACCTGCAGCACCACACACCCACGCGGCTCTCATTCTGTACTACTACGGGCGTTACTTTGATATATCGGTATATAGCACCTGCAGCATCACACACACGCATACGTTTCTCATTCTGTACTTCAGTAAATCAGTACATATAGTTTCTATCTTTCTCTATACACGATGTTTTCTGTCAAATTTAGTATGTCATATTTGATGAATTTGATGCATGCTATTGAAATTGATGGCCTGGAAAAATCATGATGGTTTCCAAGGTAACCGAGTGGAGGTCGACCAGCACAGAAGGTAGTAATCCATGTCAGACATCAATGGGGTTACTAGTCCAGTTGAAATTCCTAACGGTCGCCTTCTCCACGTGTAGGTAGATTAATAACCATAACCGGTGAGTGTCGGTGTGTACCTTCCTGCAGCGCACGCACCGCAGCGGGTCCTGGTCGGGCGGCGGCGGCGCCGGTGGAGCGTCCGCCCAACTCTCCGCCTCCGTCACGTGCTGCCTGCCACAAACCGACCACCGTTTAACCACACACTTATATATTTATATATATACCAACTATTCTTAGATGTAAATAGGAGCAAACTATTTCAAGAAACAGAAAACTATGATTTGAAAATTTAATATCGTGATTTCTTTCATTTACAAATAATCTTTTTCTTATTTAATGTTAGTAACAAATGACAGTGACAACTATTATTATGGATTAGCCGTACCCGCGACTTCATCTGCATGAAATTTAAAGTTAAATTTCATGCAGATGAAGTTTCTGTTTCTAAAATAATGGAATTTTTCTAAAATAACAGTCAAAATAGGTCCAACCATTTCAGAGATTAGCCGGAATAGACAGACAGAAATACAGGAAAAAATTGTAAAAAATGTTATTTTGGTGTATGTACCATATTTATATTCATATGATGTGTCAAAATGGTCAATATTACAAACAGACACTTCCATTTTATTTATATATAGAGATGTATAGATTAATACTGAAAAACAAACATTTCATAGGTCCCCAAAATATCCTCATCCTGTAAAATACATTTTTATTCTGCTTTTAGGACTTTCAATTTAATAAATTTCTTCTTTTTTATTGTATTATATTGGCTTTAATTTCATAGGTACATGTACTTTACTCTACATAAACAATGGCCAAGATGAGGGTAAATCGGAAAAATAGTCTAACTTACATATATTCTAATAGATCTCTATATTTACCTATAATGTTGCAACATTTCGCTTCGGCTGTAAAACTGCAAGAAGCATATGCAGCAATTGTAAACTTTCAATTCGGCAGATGCCCGTTCCACTAATAGTGAAACTTGGATGTCCTCATCCTCATTTTCCTTCTTGACATTTAATTTCATTGACTCGTTATTCTTATCCATCACTGCTACTGCAGTCTCCTGAGGCAACACATTAATAAGCATCTCCCAATCTTTTTGTTTAGGTTTCTTTTTCCTCCCCTTTTTTTCTGTAACCTGACCATTTATTTGAGAATTCTTACCTTTTTTCTTTCTCTTTAAATTGATTAATGACATATCATCGCTATTATCGGATGCTACATCAGGCACTTCATTGGAAATATCATTATAATTGTCTGATTCTGTACTGAAATCTTCTATTTTAACAGGCGATGGAGAGGGAGGTTTTGGTTCATCTTTCACCTTGACTATACCCTCAGTGTGATCGACTGCAGGAGCTGCATTTGTGTCTGTATTATCCTTGTCATCAGTCTGTGTACTCTGTTCACAGTATGCGGGCGGAGGGGGTGAGCCGCTGTTGTGTTTTATTAAAGTGAGGTCAATTGAGTTCTCGCTATGTGTGTTGGGTGGCAGCAGCTGTGGTAACATTGCATGTAACCTGAAATTATTAAAAATACTATTAAGTTTATACTCCTCACATGTCCAGGCTGACTTCATATTGACTGAGAAATTAATCACTTACAAATTAAATAAATGTCAAAATATATTCTTAAATATCATTGAACCAAACTCAGATGTTAAAAAAATATACATATAATATCTACACCTCGATTGAACTGAAATTTTGTTAATTTCTCCCGACTTTAATCATGGCAACTCAATTGAGAGAAATCAAAAGTTATACCTTCAGAATTCCCCTAAATTCTTTCTGTGCATTGGCAGTGTTGTCAATTTGATGGATAGTGATATATGCCATTTAATAAAACTGTATTGTAGAGCCCCACTGCTCAGCATTTTTTTATTTGCCCCAGGGCTCTTGGTTACCTAAATACACCACTGTCTATAAAATAAACCTTCAATCATAACATGAAGGATAAATAACATCAAATGTTATGTTGAACTGAATCCAGTCAAATACAGTTTGTTGTTCCATATTCACATGCTTAGTTCATTATAGATCTACATTATTGTCTGTTACCAGTGATATAATTAACACAGATTTACAAGTTATTGTGAGTCAGTATTTAACCATCTGTCCACAGCAACCTAGGTGTTTTCTTCAAGATATATAGTGTTATTGTTCAATAACAGTGGTAACCCGATACAGTTCATTATACACAATTTACAGAGAGATTAAAAGTTCATGAAATCTATTTATCTACGCCATATAAGACATTAGCTGAGAGAGATATATAAGAGATATATAAGCTTCTTTGAACTAGATGTTGGAAGATCAGTAAACTTAACTCCAAACCAAATATTCCAAACATTATACGATTATACTTACCGATTCTGAACTTCAATAGTTTCGTTACAGAATTGGTAAATATCATTCACTTTACAACTGCACTTATCACATATCTTCTGAGGCAGTCGATCATTTTTTAACACCTGCAAACAATGTAAATTTTTTACAATTCAGTCGTGTATAGGTTAAAATAACAAAATGTGATTTATTACAGTCAACAATACCTTAATCGGCAAATATAACGACATTTTCAAGTATAAAGCGTTCTGTTCGTCAAAAATATCATTATTTACAAATTTTGTGGAACAACATAATCTACATATGATATCCATTATTATTAAATAAATATAATAATTTATGTTTATCGCTTGTTTATTCCTGTAGTCGTACCGAAAGTGACAGATAGTTCAGCCATTTGTCATTTTTGTCAAATATTGACCCTTTTGCTTCAGTGTTGCCATTTATTACTGGGGTATTAAGGAAGACCTAAAACATATATCGATCTATTCTAGGTACGTACAACATAGAAAGGGCAGAGAGAGGGTGGGTGGACGACGCAGACAAGAGGGCGGAGAGACGCTGCGCCAAACTTTTGATTAATGAACACAATGTTCATAAAGTTAACTTACTTTAGTTAAATTCCAGATATTCAAAACATTGAAATGTTTAACAAGTGGTTGCTCGTTTTACGTTTTTAATTAGAGTTAATGCTGGAGACCGATATATATATATAATAATATAATTTCGATTTTTACATACTACAGCTTTATGTCATTTTAGTACATAAATAATGACTTACTAGCGCAAATAACTATAATTATTCGAAAAAGAAAATTTAAAAAAGAAACATTACATTCCATTTTGAAAAATAAAAATCATGAATACGCAATGTATTCTTGTTTTTACCAAAAAATGTACAGACATAGAGCCAAAATTACTAGCTATATGTTATGTTTGCGATAGCTCGCGATAAAATGTAGAGCGGTGTATCCTTATCTCTTTATCGTGCGCTATAAACAAATACATGTCTAAAATTGACTTAACATAAAGCAATATACTTAGTTATAGCAATTGCATGCTATAACAAGTATTATAGTATTTTCTCTAGCAACTATGTGAAGAAAACCCAATTTTGCATTATTAGACATAGATTATTTATCGTCAGTACATAGTATAAAACAAAGTCGCTGTCGCTGTCTGTCCCTATGTATGCTTAAATCTTTAAAACTACGCAACGGATTTTGAAGCGAATTTTTAATAGATAAGGTGATTCTAGAGGAAGGTTTATATTATATATATATTTATTTTTTATGGTACACCTTATATATACATGGTACATTGCTAGCAATGTATCATGTTAGGTTGACCTCAACGCGTTTTCCCCTGGAACCCATCGTGGTAAATACCCATTTGTCAAGACGAGCCAACTGACCTGACTGCATCCCTATCTTATGTTCTTCCTCTTGTACCCCGCCAGCGTAAATTCGTAACACAGGCGGGTGCATCTATTCCATTATAAAAAATGGGTCGTAATTAAAAAAAACTAATCAAGTATACACGAATGTATAACTTATGTTAATAATGTTTAATAGTGACTGTATACAGAATCTATACGTATACCTAAATAAAATTGGAGTGTATGTTTGTAATATTGTAATAACCATTTTTTACTACACGCATATGAATATAAATACGGTACATACACCAAAATAACATTTTTTTCAAATTTTGTATGTCAGTTTGTTCCGGCTAATCTCTGAAATGGCTGGACCGATTTTGACGTGACTTTTCTTGGCAGGTAGCTAATGTAATAAAAGTAACTTAGACTATTTTATTTTAGAAAAAATATTTTATTTTAAATAATTCCACGCTGACGAAGTCGCGAGTACAGCTCGTTTTTAAATATAATATGTAAGGCAAATATCTCCCTTGCCAGTTGAAACTGTGTTACGGCAAGGTAATACTTATGTTATTAGATTCTACTCTATTCTAAAAGAGATCTCTTAAACGATAAGACCGCCATTTGTAGAATAGAATAGAAAATTATTTATTCAAATAAACTTAATTTAAGCACTTTTGAATAGTCAACATTTTTTTAAATCTACCGCTTATTCGGAAATCTGTCTCATCACAAGAAGAATAAGCAAGAAACTTGTGTGTTGCTCTTTTAAACAATCCTTGTAAATTCACATTTTACAAGTCGAAACGTGTGAATACAAACTACCAACTAGCACTAATTTATTTAGGCTCAAATATAAAAACACAATAAGATTAAATCAGTCGTAGTGATAAGAGCAGACCAGTCCTTACAAGCAGCACTCGTTCACAAGTATGACGGATGAGCCAGCCATCATTGCGCTCGACCATATTTTAGGGAGCCCAATGACCCGGCCCACCACGCCGCCACATGTCTGGACATTTTAGTGAGCATGACTACTCATTCCACTCGACCACGTCACAACATACACAGTTTTGTACCTACACACTACGTATCTTCTGTTTTATTTTGTATTTATCTTAAAGGTGTTAGTGCCTCTATGCCTCTTAAAAAACTCTAAGAAGTTTTTAATGAGGAATTATATGATGTTTATATTATTTTTTTTAATTTGGGGGAAGCGGATTTCTCTGATACCCCGTTCCTGTGGTGTTTGTCTGTAAATATCAGGACTTGTAAGCGTTCCTTCGGAGAACAAGACAATTTGTGCAGACGTATAAAATGAATCGAAGAGAAATAAAGATTTTCAAAAATAAAAAAAAAATAGTTAATTGTTGTGGCTTTATTTACTAGAACATATGTTACAGCATCATCAATCATCATTATGATGATATCACAAGTGTTTTTTAACACATCAACATTAAAACACCGTCAACAAGTTTTTTCATAACATTAAAAATAATCTTTGATTTTAAGTTGAGTATATTTAACAAGTTACGTAAATATTTAATTTATTTTTGATGCATTTTTGTGAGAAATGGTAATTTGAAGTAGGTACTCAGTATTAGAAACTGTTGACTGACCCCCAATTGGAGTATTCCAGTGTCAATCAACCGTGACTGACAAGGTCCATGTGTTAAATCACAGGGTACTAAAGGAGCTTGCGGCTGACCTGATGTTAAATGATTACCTCCGCCCATGAGCACCCGCAACACCAGGGGAATTGCAGTTGCGTTGCCGATATTTTAAGGAAGTGCGTTGCCGATATATGAAGGAGTAAGTTCTTTGTTGAAGGTTATAATTGTATCGATTCGAAAATAACATTACTGGAAGGTGATTCCACAATGTGGACGTGCGTGGCAAAAAGTTTCTAGAACAGGATGGTGGAGGACCGCCATTCATACAGATGATCAGGATGGTATTTTAGTTTCTGACTGGTAGTACGATGGTGATTTTTTTTTACAACTCACACAGTGCCATCTAGACCCCAGTTAAGCTAGCTAATATATATATGTATATTATACATAGAAAACATTTAGACCGATACTAACAATCATTCTCATGAATAAATGTTTGTGCCGTGCAAGGAATCGAACGCGCGATCATCCGAGTTCATGATGGTGAAATCCGAACAATGAGTTGTATTAATACAACACTTTGTTCAATTAGTAAATGATTTTGCTAGTTTTTAAGTTAATTTAAGTATAGTAGGTACATAGGTATATACACGTCAGTTTACTTGTGTACTAATCACGTTAGGTAGGTGGGTACATGACTCAAGTCGAGTTCAAATTACATTTTGGCATTGAAACTTACTGATATTATTGAAGGTGCGGTTATTCTCTACGTCAGTGGTGCGCAAGCTATCTTCATATGCGACCCTCATTTTTTTTTAATTTGTCGCGACCCCTGAGTAGACAGTAGAGTTTTTTTTTAAATAATCAATGTGGTTAAAATGTAACTATTTCTGAAATTTCCATTTATTACACACAACACACAATTTTGTGAAACGATGGTTTTATTTATGCATATAAGTACAAATATATTAATTTTTTAAGGTTTTTAGAAAATCATTCATTTGAATAAATGATTTTCTAAAAACCTTAAAAATATAATATAATAACTAAAATATATTATTAAAAGGAGTCCCTTCTACTAATTCTTTGTCCGATGTAGCCGTCTTCTGTGATGTCGACCAACCTTTTTGCTATTTCCTTAAAAATCCTTACTGCGCTAGGACCTTACGGACCAAGAGTCTCGACACCGAATGGGACAATATCATATTCAGAGCCTTTTTCTTTTTCGGCCGCTTCACAAGCCCACCAGCTCTGTTGTTGGTTCCATGTATATGGGATGGGGCCAGCGTGTCTGAACAGGTTGCATCCCATACCAGCACCCAGCCCATTTTCCATGGAATCAAACTCACGGTTTCTTGCCATGCCATTAAATAAAAAAATACATTTATACATTTACTCATAAGAATTCAATGTTTTTTTAAAGATTTTTTTATCTAAATATATATAACTCAAAGGTGACTGACTGACGTAGTGATCTTTCAACGCACAGCCCAAACCACTGGACAGATAGGGCTGAAACTTGGCATGCAGGTAGATGTTATGACGCTGTATGCATAAAGCTACTATGACGTAGGTATCCCCTAAGAAAGGAATTAGATAAATTCCACACCTAAGGGGATAAATTAACGCGAGCGAAGCCGCAGGCTAAAGCTAGTGTTATATAAAGTTCTTTAAGTTTGGCGACCCGGAAAATTTTTGTTTTGCGGTTGCGCACCACTGCTCTACCTACTTGTAGTTTATTGCAACAGTTTTTAATTTTCCCAATCGGACCACTGATAGTGACCACACCTGAACCCATTTTCGTTATCAATAAGCTGAGTCTCGATAATTTTTTCACGTGAAACGACGATAACGTGTCATATTGTTCACATTATAGATACAAACTTATAAGATTAACAATATATATTATGTTACATCAAACATTTGTATTATAGTAATAAGTACAGTATAAGTAAGGAGCCAACAGAATATCAGATCTGCAAAGTTATCTGTAGCATTATGCTGAGTTGGCTGCCTTTTCACTTTTGCGGCACATAAAGCCACCTACATTTCTTTTATTAATTCGTGTTTTTCTGTATCTCATGTATGTTATGTGTCTGTAATTGTGAATAAAGAATTTATCTATCTATCTATTAGACCTGCAACTAGCAGACCTGGCCACGCCTTGCTGTGGCTATGGTTCTTGAAGAAAATAATATTGCGACTATAAATTGAGATGTAAGCTATCCTATCTTTCAAGTTGGATCAAATTGCACACAATGTGCAAATCAAATTTGGAATCGGTTCAGTAGTTTAGGAGTCCATCGCGGACAAACAACGTGACACGTAATCTTTATACATAAAGAAATATTTCGTAAATTATTTAAATGAGTGTTTTG